TTGTTAAACCCAGTGGTGCTAAAGTTTTTGCCTGTGTGCAAGGGTTTGTCTTATTATTTACTCACGTGTCACTACTAAAATGTCTTTTCATGGGTTATTAGCAACTTCTTTTATTGCCAAATCTAGTGCCTTCTAGTGCCTTCTAGTGCCTTCTAGTGCCTTCTAGAGTGTTGACCCCACTCCTTTTTTTTTTGAGTATTTTTTTTATTTTTTCAAATTAATATGAGGGTACAATTTTTAGGTATTTTTATAGTATTTTATTATAAAATATTTTATTTTTATTTTATTTATCTAATTTTATTTTATAATATTTTTCCATTCTTGCAATACTGTACTAAGAAGAATGTATTTCTTTTTGAAACTTTATCTTTCTTTTCTCCCACACTATCTCATGCTTCTGATTCTCTTCCTTTCCTTTCAAATGCCAATTTAAATACTAGGTTTCTTAGATTTGTAGATGATTTTTTAAAACTAGTATTTTTCTTAATTTTAAAGGTACATATATTTATGAATGAAAAATTTAAAACATAGAGAAGTATGAAGGAAATAAGAAAAATCTAAACATCATTCATAATACCAGGTAGCTGACTTAAATCTTTATGTCTGACTTGAGGGTCAGACCCACCTTTCCAACATCCTGTGTAAAGATTTCTTTATGAATGTTTGTGGGCATCTTAAATTGTGCATTTCTAAAAACCAAACTTATTTTCTTACATCTCCTTCTCCTTCCCCACATTTCCTTTTCCTACCCTCTTTTCTACCTTTGGCTATTGCTATTTCTAGGATCCATTTTAGGAGTCTTCATTTCTTCTTGGCTCCCTGAAGTAAATGAGCTAACTTCTTTTAGTGGTTATGCAAATGCGAGAGACCGTAGTTCCTTCCTTTCACGTGTTTTTTAATGGTGCTCTTAACCTCCTGAGTTTTACAGTCTTTAAAGACCTCCCTTAATGATTGCTAGAGTACTGGGGAGAACTTTTTGTAGCACAGAGGATTAAGATTGAGTACAGACTCTAGAACCTATGTTTGCAACCTAATGATGCTGTTTAACTGCTATAATCCTGGATATACCTTGATGTAGAATAGAAATAATGACTGTCTAATAGCATTGTCTTGAAAATGAAATGGAATAGTAGGTACACAGTACTTGGAATATTCCTGGCATGTGTAAGCAGTAAATATAAATGTTAACTATTACTATTGTATTATTACTCTTCTTAGTTATGAGTGCCTCTGCTGCCACCTTAGTATACTCTTAAGAAGCCTAGAGGCGGCCAGGTGCAGTGGCTCATGCCTGTAACCCTTGCACTCTGGATGCTGAGGCAGGTAGATTGCATGAGCTCATGAGTTCAAGACCAACCTGAGCCAGAGTGAAATGGCTGGGCTTTGTGGCGGGTACCTGTAGTCCCAGCTATTTAGGAGGCTGAGGCAAGGGGATCACTTGAGCCCAAGAGTTTGAGGTTGCTATGAGCTATAATATAGTTAGACTGTGTCTCAAAAAATAAATAAATAAAATAAAGCCTAGGGACTATGGTATAGAAAAAGTTCTCAGTATCTTCCATTAGGTGTTTGTTTTTTATGACATTCACCCAAGGGAAAGTTGTTTCCCTAATATTCCCTAGCATATAATCAGGGACTTCTTTTACTTTAAAGTTATTTCTGTGTGCTTTTCTGTGTAAATTTCATGAAGTCCTCTGGTGGACAGTTGTTAGCCTGTATTTAGTTCATAGTAGTTTTAAATGAAACAGGTAGTGTTCTAGATAAAAGATATCTCAGAAATTTCACCTTTTGTGCTTATTTTAATAGTTTTCTTAAAAAGATTAAAACACTTTGCTTTTAGAAAAAGTTTAACCAGAAGATTTTTTGTTTTAGGATTCCTACAGGGGAGACATAAAGAGTGCATCATTGAAGGATTTATGTCTTGAAGACAAAAGACGCATTGCAAATTTAATTAAAGAACTGGCCAGGTAAGGCAAAATTTTATATGAAATGCATTAATATATGACAGAACTCTTTTTGAAAACAGAAAATTACAAATATGTTTTGATATTATTATATCTTTGACCTTATGAGAATAAAATGTGTTAGGGGAAGAAAAACTATTCTGAGAGGTTAAAAAAAAAAAACCCTAAATGGTTAAAAAAAGAAATGCCAGAAGCATACCACTCTCTAATTTATATTTTCTTATTTATTTAATTTTCCTGATTATTTGATGGAAATATTTATAGCCGTTGCCTATCAAGAGAGATGCTATTGCAACCAGAGGCATAGACATTCCTTTTGCTTTTGCTTTAGCATCTGAATAGGGAAGAATATTTTATTATAGTCTATCACAAGAGTACTTATTGTCTCTTGCCTAAAACCTAATGCTCAGATAAGGGATTTTGAATTTGAGAATGATAGTTATTAGCTGTTTAAAGTACTATTCCAGTTTATTAATGATGTGTATGGTGCATATCTACTTTGTATGTATAATTTCTTCATCTATACACATATCCAGTTTTGGGGTCTAAAAAGTACTTGATAAATGAAGATATCTATAGAGAAATGTATTAATACAAATTGTAAAAGTTAAAATTAGGAAGCGAACATACCTAAAAGTTGATGAAACACCTATTACTGTTTCCAAATATGCAACTCAGTGACAAAACAGTACTAGTTTTGCTTTTAGAAAAAGTACTAGTTTTGTCACTGAGTTGCATATTTGGAAACAGTAGTAGGTGGGTTTTTTCATTTCTAATTGAAAATAATATTGGGTGTGTATCAAAACATTTCTCATATTGAGGTCTTAAAATAATTGTAGCATATTACTCTAAATCATAGAATCTGAATATCAAAGATGACCAAAAAAAGTAATGTTTTGGGGACCAGAATAAAGGATGTAGATTCAAAGTGCCTGCCTTAGTCTGAATTTGGTAAGGTACCTGAGATAAAGAGTAACTTCTTTCATTAAAATTCTGTGGCCGTTCTAGTTCCTAAAGTAGAGTTTTCATTAACTTCAGACAGTATTCTTTTACTGGGAAAATATTTAATTGTACTTCTCAGTACTGTGTTTTTCCCCAAATAAGACACTGTCTTATATTTATTTTTTCTCTAGAAGACACACTAGGGCTTATTTTCAGGGGATGTCTTACCTCCATGCCGAAATGCATGGCTACGTCTTATTATCGGGATAGGGCTTATTTTTTGGGTAGGTCTTATTTTCGGGGAAACACAGTATGTGAAGATGATCTTCTCATGAGGTTATATATAACACAGATGATTGTGGATGTCCTTAGCCCATGTTTGATGGCATTGAAAGGATATTAGCATTAGTTTGACACTACTTATTTATTGTTCTGACTGACCCATTTTATTTCAGCTTCCAAGCTTGGAGAATACCCGAAATATTCACCATGTTCTTTTAGTTTCAGTAGTCCTCTACTTGCTAGAAAAATGCTAGTTTTTGTTAACTTTTTTACAGAATATCATATACTTCAATCACTGGCAATAAAACATTCCAAATGTGTCTGTTCTTTTTTTCTTTGAACTTTCAACCTAGTTTTGAATAATTGGTTTTTGTTGGCATTAAATAAATTCATTTCTCTTTTATCTTAAAAAATGAAGTATTCCTTTGACCATATTTCCTTCTAGCTACTGACTTTTTTGTACTCCACAATGTAACCTTGTTCCTAAGAGTTTATAATATTATTTTCTAATCTGTTGCATTTCATTTCTTCATCAAGCTTATTTGCTTGCTTGTCAGTGTATTATTTATAAATGTATCAAAGTACAATTTGAATGTAATAGTATGTACCCATTTAATTTTTTAAAAAAATTTTCTTGGTGCTCTCTTGTTACATGTACCCATTTTGAGCATATATTTCAATGAGTAATTTGTAACCATTAATGTGATTTTTGTCATTATAGCTGAGTTTTACATCTTTGACACACCATATAAATGGCCAGAAAGTATATATCTGGCTTCTTTTCCTCAGGATAATTATTTATATGTGGTGGTGTTGGCAAGTATACATAAGATTTATCTTCATACTCATTTTTTAAGTGTACAATTCAGTGGCATTAAGTACATTCACAGTGCTGTGCAAAGATCTCCACCATTCATCTCTAGAACTTTTTCATCATCTCAAACTAAAACTGTATACCCATTAAATAATACCTCCTTGTCTGTTCTCTCTTGCCCCTGTCAAACAACCACTATTCTGTGTGTCTCTATGAGTCTGACTACTCTGCCCATCCCAAAGAGCAACTAGTATTCTAGTTGCCTCATATAAGTGTCAATCCTTTAGTATCTGGGTTCTGTTAATTTGGTAAATTATACTGATCACTGATAGATGGGTTTGTTTTTTTTTTTAATGTTTCATTTACCTAGCATTTCTGGCCTATCTATAAGAGGGGCTGTACCTAACAAATTCAAATATTGTGACTTGGTTGTTTATATTCTTAGATTAACCTCAAATAAAAAAATTAAAGTTATGCTAAAAATAAAAAGAGAATAGTGTTATCACCTTGTAGAAGTAATTTGTGTCTCTTTAGTGGCTACT